ACCATAGATGTTTCTCTCTCTCTCCCTCTCCCTTCCTCTCTGAAATCAATAAAAAGTGTTTTTAAAATGTGTTTTGTGCCCTAGCTGGCTTGGCTCAGTGGATAGAGCGTCGGCCTGCGGACTGAAGGGTCCCGGGTTCGATTCGGGTCAAGGGCATGGACCTTGGTTGCGGGCACATCCCCAGTGGGGGGTGTGCAAGAGGCAGCTGATCGGTGATTCTCACCGGTGTTTCTGGCTCTCTATCCTTCTCCCTTCCTCTCTGTAAAAAATCAATAAAATATATATATAATGAGACAAGAATAGCAATACCCTCCTCCCAGGGTATTCTGCCCTCTTCGGGAAGTAACTCATTCCTATATTATTCATTTATTATTATTTCTTTAATCCTCACCTGAGGACATTTTCCCATTGGTTTCCAGAGAGAGTGGGATGGAGAGGGACAGAGAGAAACATCCATTTCAGAGGAACACATGGATGGGTTGCCTCTTGCACGCACCCAACCAGGGTTAGGCGGGGGGAGGATCCTGCAACCCAGGTCCATGCCCTTGTCTGGAACCCAACCCAGAACTCTTGGGTCCGAGGGCCGACGCTCTATCCACTGAGCCACACCGGCCTGGCCCAAAGCAACTCGTTTATTTTTTATTTATTTATTTTTTTAAATCAATCTTTATTGTTCATATTATTACAAAGGTTCCTCATTTCTTCCCCCCTCCACCAGGTTCCCACCCCACCCTCCGTCCCCCCCCCATCCCCCATTGTCCTCATCCATAGGTGCAGTTTATGTTCATTCTCTTCTTCCCTCCCTTTCCCCGATAGTAAATCCCTTTTCAGATAGTAAATCAGTTACTTAGCATTTTCTCAAATCAATAATACCTCCACATGCCCAATGATACCCTTCACACAAAAGACATTTCCCAATAGGTCCACCAGCCTCATCCAGGCCCCACCCAAGGCACTCACAGATCAACACCCCAGTCCTAAACTAACTCAACACATCCAGATCTAAGCCTTCATCACTTGATTCAGCAGACCCTCAAGTTCCCACGAAAGTTTCCAGCCATGTCTGAGAGGCAGCCGTGGGGCAGGGGCAGGCGAGGAGCGAGCTGTTCTGGGCCTGGCTGCTCAGGGCCTGGCCTCTGTTGCTCTGGTTCATTGCACAACCAGCTGCTCCGGGTCTGGTCACTGCCGCTCCCGACCTAGTTGCTCTGGACATGGCTGCTGCTCAAAGCAACTCGTTTAATCTGAGAGGCTCAGTGCATGGCGGTGGCCACAGGACAAGGGGCTGTGAGCTGGAGCCCTCAGTTTGCCTGTCCTGGGAATGGGGCCACGGAACGCCCTCCCTCAGCGGCTGCTCTGCTGGGATTGTCTGATGGTGGCTGGCCTGTGGGTGCGCTCACTGGGCATGTGGCAATCGGGAGCCGCTGAGGGGTCTGAGGGGAGGTGGCTTTGAGGTCAGGAAAGCACACCTCCCGCTTCCTGTGGGACCCAGCGTGGGGGGACTCCTGGTTTCTTTGTGCCCGGATTTCACCAAGTCCCGTCTCCTCTGCTGGTCGGGCAGCTCCTGGAGTGGGGGGCGGGGTGCCCAGCTGGTCTTCCCGCCCCTGCCCAGCCTCAGCCGGGTGTGTGTGTGTGTGCGTGTGTGTGTGTGTGTGTGTGTGTGTGTGTGTGTGTGTGTGTGACAGGCCCGTGCTGAGGGCTCCCTGCATGTGGACCCCGCACCCACAGCTCAGCGGGACTGAGCGGCTCGGGTGAGCCCCCCCCCCTCCGCCACCTCCCCCTCCCCCTTCCCCTTCCCGCTCCCCCTCCCTTCTCCCCTCCGCCACCTCCCGCTCCCCCTTCCCCTCCCTTCTCCCCTCTGCCACCTCCCCGCTCCCCCTTCCCCTCCCTACTCCCCTCTGCCACCTCCCCCTTCCCCTCCCTACTCCCCTCTGCCACCTCCCCCTTCCCCTCCCCGCTCCCCTCCGCCACCTCCCCCTCCCCCTTCCCCTCCCTTCTCCCCTCCGCCACCTCCCGCTCCCCCTTCCCCTCCCCGCTCCCCCTCCGCTGTCCCGGGGCCTCCCTCCGGAGCCTGGACCGGGCTGCCAGCCTCTGTGCCCGCCTGATGCTGACAACGGGGGAGCTGGCCGGGCGGGGAGGCAGGGTCTGTGCAGAGGCACGGGGGGGGCGGGTTCGGGAAGACTGGGCACAGCCCTCTGCTCCCTGCCCTGGGGCCGGAAAACTGTGTCTCACACATACACACACACACACACACACTCCACAGTCTCACACACACACCACACACACACACACAGATACACTCTCCACACACACACACACAGATACACTCTCCACACACACACACACACACGCACACACACACTACAGTCACACACATACATACACCATACACACAACACACACACACCATACACATACACACAACCACACATACAGTCACACGCATACACAATCACACACACCACACAATCACACACACACCACACACACACACACACAGTCTCACACACACACACACAACACACACACATACACAGTCACACACAACACAGTCACACATACACACACACAAATACACAGATACACACTCCACACACACATACACACACCACACACACACATACAACACACACATACACAAATACACAGACACTCACACAGACACACTCTCCACACAAACACCATCCACACACACACCATCCACACACACACCACACTGCCCGGCATTGTGGCTCAGGGTTGAGCGTAGACCCAGGAACCAGGAGGTCAGGAGGTCACAGCTGGACTCCCGGTCAGCGCACCTGCCTGGGTTGCAGGCTCCATCCCCCCAGCAGGGGGCGAGCAGGAGGCAGCCATCAAGGGTTTCTCTTTCATCAATGTTTCTATCCCTCCCCTTTCTGCTCTCTCTAAAAATCAATCAAAGCATTACATAAAATTAAAATAAAATAAAATAAAACAGCCCCGGCCAGGAAGCTCCATTGCTTAGAGCATCACCCTGATAGGCCAAGGTTGCAGGTTCCATCCCCGGTCAGGGCACACACAAGAATCAGCCAGTGAAGGCATCCACGAGTGGAACTACAAGTCTCTCTCTCTCTCTCTCTCTCAAATTTGTAAATAAAAATTTAAAAAATAAGCACTCAGAGGATTTGTAGAAAATGACCGTCTGCACCCCAAACCCCTTCTTTCTCTGACATACAGAGCCCGCCCCCTCACGGCCTTCACCCGCGCCGCCCCCGAACCCCCCACCCCGCACCCCACATTCAGGTCAGAAGCTGACCCCAGCAAGCCGCCCCCACTTGTCCGTGCTCAGCCCTGCGGGGTCCTGGGAGCCCCTGGCGGTGCCCGAGGCCGGACTGCCCATCGGTGGCCATCGCAGGCAGCTTGTCCTGGATGACGGAACGTTCTGGATCCGGGCTGTCCGTCCGCATGGCCCCGGCCACAGGGGGCTCCTGGCGCTTGCAGTAAAGTGACTGGGACCTTTCGTCTTACTCTGTTTTATCTTAAACGTGTCACCCCGCACTGGAATGGGGACAGTCGCCTGCGGCTCCTGGCTACCCCGTCCTGGTTGATTTTTTTCAGAGAGGAATAAAGAGGTAGAAACATCGATCAGCTGCCTCCTGCACGCCCCCTATGGGGATCAAGCCCTCAACCCGGGCATGTGTTCTTGATCAGAATGGAACCCGGGACCCTTCAGTCCACAGGCTGACGCTCTATCCACTGAGCCAAACCAGTTTTGGCCATCATCTTTTTTTTTCTTTTTTCTTTTTTTAATATATATATTTTTATTGGTTTCAGAGATGAAGGGAGAGGAAGGGGGAGAGATAGAAACATCAATGATGAGAGCCATTGATCAGCTGCCTCCTGCACGCCCCCTACTGGGGATCGAGCCTGCACCCCGGGCATGTGCCCTTCACCAGAATCAAACCCGGCACCCTTCAGTCTGCAGGCTGACGCTCTATCCACTGAGCCACACCCGCTAGGGCTAGAGCATCATCTTGATATACAAGGTTGCAGGTTCGAGTCCCCAATCAGGGCACAGACAAGAGTCAATCAGCTAATGCATGAATGAATGCATCAGTACATGGAATAACGGGACATCTCTCTCTCTCAATCAATCAATAAAAGTTTTTAGAAATTAGAATTCCAGCCCTGGCCAGTGTGTCGGTTGGCTGAAAGGGTGCCAGTTCAATTTCTGGTCAGGGCGCACGCCCAGGCCTCAGCTGGACCCCCAGGCAGGGTGCACGTGGAAGGCAGCCAATGGATGCTTCTCTCTCTCTCTTTCTCTCAGTCAATAAAATCATATTTGTAAAGTATTTTTTAAAACACAATTCCGGAGAGGGTGGCAACTTTGTCTGGGCATCCTCAGAGCCCAGCACTGGCCGGGTTTGCTGAGGGAGAGCTCAAGCAGGGTTCCTGGGCAGCCGCGGGGCTCCCGCAGCTGCCTCGGGGCCATGGTGACCGCCTTCTCCCTCTCCTGCATCTCCTTCGGCCAAACGCTGCACCCTTCCCCGCCGGGAACCCACGTCCACAGACCGCGGGCCGGACCCTGGCTCCCCCAGGCCCTCCCCCACCGCGCCCCTTCCCCCCCTCACCCCCACAGACAGCCTCACTCCTTCACGAACTCACATTTATTCAGACAGACAGAGGGACAGGGTGGACCTTAGCTCACTGGGGACCCCCGAGGCCTGGCTGTGTCCAGTGTGTACAAACGGGGCGGCGGGTGGATGGGTGGGGTCCCCCAGTCTCCATCCTTCTGGCCCAGGTCCTGCCCCTCCTTTTCCAAGGGACCCCGCCTCCCACGTGAGCTGAGGGGGCGAGCAGTTCCCCGGGGGCCTGGGGGCGGCGGGGGAGGGCGAGGGAGGGGCGCACGGCCCTTCCTTAGTGTCAGGGGTGGGAGAGGCGGTGGGCACGTGGAGGGACCCCCCTCCTTCCACTTCTCTCCTCCCTATTGCAAACCGGGGGGCGGGGGAGGGGAAAGGGGGAGGCAGCCCGAGGGGCGAGGGTCAGGAGGCCAGGCCGCCCAAGCCCCCGCGCAGGAGAGCCTTGCTGTCCGTCTCGTCCTCCTCCAGCTCCTCAAAGGCCGAGTGGTCCTGGCTGTCGAAGCAGGAGGCGCTGAGGAAGACGGGGGGCGCCGGGGGGGACCGGGGCGGGCTCCCCGGGGAGGGCGGCTCCTCCTTGATGCGGGCGAGGGGCAGAGGCAGCCCCTCCTCGCCGCCGGGCCCCGAGGGCGCGGGCGGGGACGGCGGGGCCTGGGCCTGCAGCGCCTGCAGCGCGGCCGCGCGCTCCAGCTCGGCGCGGTGGCAGCGCTGGTGGCGCAGGAGGCTGTAGGCGCGCGAGAAGCGGCGCGGGCAGTGCGGGCAGGGGTGCGGGGCCGGGCCGCCCGCGTGCACCTGCGCGTGGCGCGCCAGGTCGGCCAGGCGCTTGAACTCGCGCTGGCAGCGCACGCACTGGAAGGGGCGCGCCCCGGAGTGGGTGACCCCGTGCTGCCGCAGGTGCGCGCGGCGCCGGAAGCCCTTGCCGCACTCCGGGCACCAGAAGCGGGGCTCCCCGGCGGCGGCGGGAGGCCGGGTCCCTGGGGCCGCATCGCCCCCGTTCTGCCCGCCGCCGCCGCCTTCTCCCGCCCCCTCGGGGCCGGCCTGGCCCTCGCCGCCATCGGGCCCCTTCCCCGAGGTCCGTGCGCCCGCCGCCCGGTCGTCCCTGCGCGGGGGCAGCGGGGCGAGCAGGCTGAGCGCGCCGTGCACGCGGCGGTGCTGGCGGAGGTAGGAGGCCAGGCGGAAGGCCAGGCCGCAGTCCGGGCACACGAAGGGGCGGTCGGTGGAGTGCACCAGGCGGTGGCGGGACAGCGACCAGGGCCTGGCGAAGGCCTTGAGGCAGACGGGGCACTGGTGGCGCTTGGGGCGCGGCGGCGGGCCCCCCGCGCCCTCGCCCTCCTGCTCGCCCTCGGGGCGCAGGCACGGGTGCGCCTTCAGCTCGCCCTTCGTGGCGAAGGCCTCGCGGCAGCGCAGGCACAGCAGCGTCCAGTCCGCCTGCAGCAGCACCTGCTTCTCCTCCTGCCGCCCGGCCGCCCGCGCCAGCTCGGCCCGCAGCTCGGCCGCCGCCCCGGCCTCCGCGGCCTCCGCTTCCGCCGCCCCCGATGCCCGGGCATCGGCGCGCGCGGGGGGCGCGGGGGGCGCGTCCGGCTCCCCTGCGGCCCACGTGTCCGGCCACGCGGCCTCCTCCTGCTCCTCCTCTTCCTCCTCCTGCTCCTCCTGCTCCTCCGGGGCGGCCCCGGGGCCGGCGGGGCCGGGCGGCTCAGTGGCGGCCGCGTTGCCGTCGCCGTCGGCGGGGTCCTGCGGGTCCAGCCCCGCCTCGCCGCCCGCGTGCTCCTGGGCCAGGTGGCGCCGCAGCTGCGCGGGCTCCGGGAAGGTGCGGGGGCAGGCGGCGCAGCGCAGCGGCGGCTGCGGGCCGTGGCCGCGCAGGTGGCGGGCGAGGTGCGCGGGCCGGCGGAAGGCCTTGGGGCACAGCGGGCAGGCGTGCGGCCGCAGCCCCGAGTGGCTCAGCCAGTGGCGCGAGAGGTAGTAGGGGAAGCGGAAGAGGCGGCCGCACGTCGGGCAGGGCAGGGGCGCGCGGGGGGCGCCGGCGGCCCCCCGGGCACCCCGGCCTCGGCCCCGGCCACGGCCCCGGCCGCCCCGGCCCCGGCCCCGGCCCCCCCGGCCGCGGTGAGGCGGGCTGCCCTGGGCGGGTGGCGGGGGCTGCGGATCCATGCCTGCGGGAGAGAGGAGAGATGGGGAGATGAGGGGGGGTAGGAGGGGACAGAGGGGGGAAGGCGTGAGGAAGAAGCAGGGGCGGTGATGGAAGTGAAGGGGGCAGGTATTCAGCCCGAGAGAGGAGGAGAGAGCAACAGAGACATGAGGCAGAGACAGAGACAGAGACAGAGAGAGACAGAGAAGTGGAGATGGAGAGACAGAGCAGGGGAAATAGGGGGACAGGATGGGGGCCCCCGGAGATCAGGACACCCCACAGGGACAGAGATGAAGAGAAAACAAAGAGGGTTAGACAGAGAGGGTGCAAACAGGCCAGAACCATGGCGGCAAGGGAAGGAGAAACAGGGAGACAGACAGGGAGACAGACAGACAGACAGACAGAAGGTGCAAACAGGTCAGAACCATGGGGGTTGGGGGGAGAGATAGACATACAGACGACCGACAGAGGGTGCAGACAGGCCAGAACGACGGCGGCAAGGGGGAGAGGGCGGGGAGGGAGAAACAGGGAGACAGACAGACAGACAGAAGGTGCAAACAGGTCAGAACCATGGGGGGGGGGGCAGGGAGGAGAGCCAGACAGACGGACACAGAATTGGAGACAGGATACAAAGTCAGCGGCTGCTGATCCCCCGGGCCCCGCCGTGGGAGGGGCTGCAGGGGCTGGGGTGGGAGGCCCCGGAAGCGGGGTGTGCGCGCCCAGGTGCTGGGCGGGGAGGGGCTGGGGGAGGAGGAGGACGCTGGGTCTGAGCCCGGAGGGAGGGTGCTGGGGGCCCGACTCCGGGGGCTGGGGGGTGGGGCTGGGGCCGGGCCGGGGTTCCGGGGGCTCTGGAGGCGCCTGGAATGCAGCATCCAGATCCCCCCACCCCCATCCCACCCCCTCCCCGGGGCGTGCAGGGCTGGGGTCCTGGGCCCCAGGGGCTGGGCGCGGAGGAGGGGGCTGGGCTCCAACAAGGAGGGAGAGGCCGGGGCCGGGGCCCAGCTGCCCGGGAGGAGGGAGCCGCGGGCCAGGCCCCTCACCCCGAGGGGGGCTGCCGGGGGTCCCTAACTCCCCCACCCCCGGGGGAGGGGGCGATCGCCAGGCGGGGCCCCCCTGCCGGCCCCGCGGGCACGATCTGCAGAATCGGGGCCCGGGAGGGAGGCGGCCGTGCGGGTCCCTGCACCGGGGGGCCCGCCCCGGCCCGATCGCGGGGCGCCCCGCGCTTACCTCCCTCGGCCTCCTGGGCGCCTTTCTTCCTTCCCCGCGGCCGGCCGAGTGGACGGTGGTGGCGGGGAGGGAGGGCCCGGGCGCAGCGTGCAGGGGGGCGGGTGGAGGAGGCTGGGCTCGGTGTCACCGCCTAAGCCTTCCCCCCGGAAACCCGCCTCTCCTCGCCCAGCCTGGGAGAGGAAAGACTGGCTGGGAGCCGGAAGCAGGAGGAGGAGGAGGGGAGGTTGGGGGCGAGGAGGTGGGGAGGAGGGGGGCTAGGGGGCCAGGCCTCTGGCCTCCCAGAGGGAGGAGCCCTCTGAGGGCCTGGGAGCCTGGGAGGCTGGGACCCGCTCCTCTCTCCCCTCAAAACACATGGTCATTCATTCCTTCCACAAACACACATTTATCAGGTCCGGCCTCTGCCAGGCTCTGTGCTGGGGGCCGGGCTGGGGTGGGGGGCAGGAAATGAATGAAGGACTGACAGAGGCTTGGACGTGCAGGACTCCAGCCTTCCCCAGCAAGGACTTCTCTTCTCCAAGCCTCAGTTTCCCCCGGGTGAGAAGCCGGGCAGATCCACTCAGTCCTGAGCAATCCGTATTAGCTGAGCACCTACTATACAGGCCACAGGCCGGCTGTGCATGTATGTTGCTGCCTGTATTCCCGTGACCCGAAGCCACCAGGTGTGTCCTGAGCACCTACTGTGGGCTGGATCTGTCCTTGGTGCTGGAGCGGCAGAGGCCCCGGGCCCTGTCTGCAGGGAGCCCTGTCTGCAGGGAGCCCAGTCTGCAGAGAGCCAGTCTCCCTCCCCGAGAGGGATCCCTGAGGGCTTCCTGGAGGCGGCAGCCGCCTTTCGGCTGAAACCTGCGGGGTAAACACCCAGGGTTAGGAATAGGGAGGAGGAGCTGGAGGGGACGCCCCAGCAGGGCCATGTGTAGAGTCCCTTACGTTGAGCAGAAAAGCCCCCTTAGCCCAAGCCCGATTGGCTCAGTGGATGGAGCATTGGCCTGTGGATGCAAGGGTCCCAGGTTCGATTCCGGTCAAGGGCATGTACCTTGGTTGTGGGCACATCCCCAGTGGGGAGTGTGCAGGAGGCAGCTGATGGATGTTTCTCTCTCATTGATGTTTCTGACTCTCTGTCCCTCTCTCTTCCTCTCTGTAAAAAAAAAAAAAAAAAAAAAAAAATCTATAAAATATGTTTTTAAAAAAGCAATGGAAGCCAAAACAGGTTTGGCTCAGTGGATAGAGGGTTGGCTTGTGGACTGAAAGGTCCCAGGTTCGATTCCGGTCAAGGGCATGTACCTTGGTTGCGGACACATGCCCAGTAGAGGGTGTACAAGAGGCAGCTGATCGATGTTTCTCTCTCATTGATGTTTCTAACTATTTCCTCTCCCTTCCTCTTTGTAAAAAATCAATATATATATATATATATATATATATATATATATATATATATATATATATATAAATGGAAGACATAGCCTCAGGGGAAGAGTAAGACACACACACACACACACACACACAGGGAAACAATATGCATCAAATCCGGGGTAGGGGCTACCCTTGAGAAGGGAGATGCTGGCTGTGAGGGCGATCTGGCTGCGACATCTGTCACCCCATGATCGCCAGGGTTGATTCGGCTGACCTGGCTGGCTAGGCGGGTGTCCCCCTCCTCCCTCACCGATCCATGTGCGTCCCTCCCGAAGCTGCGTGCTCGGTCGAAGAGGATGACCTTCCCCCAAGAGGAGAGGTCCGGTCTTCGGTCAGGGGTATCCGAGTAGCTGCTCTCCCCTGCGAGAACCCACACACAAGCTCTCATCATCGATGTTTCTGTCTCTCTCTCTCCTCTTCCTTCCTCTCTGAAATCAATAAAAATATTTAAAAAAAACATATTTTAAAAATAAATAAATGCCCTAACCGGTTTGGCTCAGTGGATAGAGCGTCGACCTGCAGACTGAAGAGTCCCGGGTTCGATTCCGGTCAAGGGCATGCACCTTGGTTGCGGGCACATCGCCAGTGGGAGGTGTACAGGAGGCAGCTGATCGATGATTCTCTCTCATCGATGTTTCTAACTCTCTATCCCTTCCTCTCTGTAAAAAATCCATAAAATATATATTTAAAAATGAATAAATAATATATATTTGTAAAATGTAAAAGAAAGAACCTCTTGTTCTGGGGGGCTCAGTGCTTAAGGGCTGTTCTCAAGCCCCCCCCCCCCCTTCATTCATTCCCCATCTAGCCCAGTGGTCAGCAAACTCATTGGTCCACAGAGCCAAATATCAACAGCACAACGACTGAAATTTTTTTGGAGAGCCACATTTTTTAAAATATATTTTATTGATTTTGTACAGAGAGGAAGGGAGAGAGATACAGAGTTAGAAACATCGATGAGAGTCATCGATCAGCTGCCTCTTGCACACCCCCTACTGGGGATGTGCCCGCAACCAAGGTACATGCCTTTGTCTGGAATCGAACCCGGGACCTTTCAGTCCCCAAGCCGACGCTCTATCCATTGAGCCAAACCGGTTTCGGCAAGAGAGCCACATTTTTTAAACTTAAACTTCTTCTAATGCCACTTCTTCAACACAGACTCGCCCAGGCCCGTGGTATTTTGTGGAAGAGCCACCCTCCAGGAGCCAAAGAGCCGCATGTGGCTCGAGAGCTGCAGTTTGCCGACCCCGGTCTAGGGGCTCAAACCTACATAGCTAGCAGCATGCCAGGGGCGGAGAGGGCAGGGCGGGTTTGGACTGAACAGCCAGCGATGTGCGGGGGAGGAGAAGTCACGCTGGGGGCAAGGTTCTTGTTGTGCCCGTTGCCAGGCACCCAGGGCTTCCTGCCTCGGTGACCTTCAGTACCTGGCTCTGCTCCTGTCTGTGCAGCGGCCTCCCACAGGCCCACTTGCTAGTTATAAAATCCATCATCGCTCCCGTGCTGTCACTCCCCTCCCTCCCCCTCCTGCCCTGGCATCCGGGAGCCAGCCCCCGGCTCAGTGGGCTTGCCTGGGCATTTCCCACCAGTGGATGGAACATACAGGGTCTTTACCGCCAGCCTTTTACTCGGCACCGCATTGCCAAACCCATCCACGGTGTGGCCTGTGTGAGTGACTCATCCCTCTTTTTGATTTTTATTGATTTCAGAGAGGAAGGGAGAGGGAGGGAGAGAGAGATAGAAACATCAATGATAAGAGAGAATCATTGATTAGCTGCCTCCTGCATGAGCTACATTGGAAATCCAGCCCACAACACAGGCATGTGCCCTCAGCCAGAATCGAACCTGGGACCCCTTCAATCCACAGGCCGACTCTCTTTCCACTGAGCCAAACTGGCGAGGGCTCATCCCTCCCTTTTTCCCCCCTGAATATTATTCCAATACTACTCCAATATTATTCCATTACTATTATTCCAATACTATTTCATTACTATTATTCCATTATATTCCAATACTATTCCATTACTATTATTCCATTACTATTATTCCAATTCTGTTTCATAACTATTATTCCATTACTATTCCAATACTATTATTCCAATACTATTATTCCATTACTATTATTCCAATACTGTTTCAATACTACTCCAATACTATTCCGTTGGGCATGCTACATGCTGTCTGTTCACTGGTTGGGTGGGCATTGGGCTGTTTCTACCTTTAGGCCATTGTGAATAGCGCTGTTGTGGTTTGCGTCCTTATGTTTTTGTTTGAAGGACAGTTTTATTTTTTAAAATATATTTTATTGATTTTGTACAGAGAGGAAGGGAGAGGGAGAGAGAGTTAGAAACGTTGATGAGAGAAAAACATCCATCAGTTGCCTCCTGCACCC